AGGGCTCACAGAGGTACTGACCATAATAGATTGGTTTGTATTTTTAACAAATCAGACACAAGTAAGGTAGATGTTAAGATCTGACCAAGCTGGGTGCTATATGCATGGGTGTTGTATGTTATCCTTTGTATTTTTTCTATGTCTGAATTAGTGAATAAGGCATAAAGAAAAAAATAATGTTATGTGTGTCCCAACTCCTAGAGTTCTCCATATGCTGAAATTTAGAGTGGCTTTGATTGAATCAAGAATACATATCTCACCAGGAGTGGTGGCTCATGCCTACAATCCCAGCACTTTGGGAGGCTGAAGTGGGAGGGTTGCTTGAGCCCAGGAGTTCAAGATGGGCCTGGGCAACATGGCGAGACTCCATCTCTACTAAAAGTGAAAAATATTAGCCAGGCATGGTGGTGTGCACCTGTGGTCCCAACTACTCGGGAGGCTGAGGTTGGGGGACTGCTTGAGCCCTGGAGGTTGAGGCTGCAGTGAGCTGTGATGGCACACCTGCACTCCAGCCTGGGTGACAAAGCAAAACTCTGCCTCAAAAAAAAAAAAAGCTATATATTTCCATGGGTCCAAGGTTCTACCATGTGGTTGTTTGGGGATTTTCAGATGCTGCCGTTTGAGAACCTGTCCCCCATAGCCTCAGCGGGGCTCAGATAAGGCATCCCTGGATCCCCCGACAGGATGCCTGAGGTTTGGCCTGCAGGAAGAAATGCAGCTCCAGTCGAAAGCTGCCACAGGCTACAGTCTTGAAGCTTGAGGGTCCTGGGGCTTCTGAGGGCCTCTTCTCGCTCCAGAGATCTGAGTGTCCTCCTGCCCTGGGGCGGTGGCTCCTTTGGCTGCCCTAACTGCACTGTGGTGTGAGAAACATGCCTCTTCCCCTCACCCTGATGCAGCTCCTTGCCTCACTGACACCTTGCTGGCTCCTTGGGGCTGGGGATGACACACAGACCTCAGTGCCTCCACCCCGCCCCCCCAGGCCTCTCACTGTGATGCTGTGAAGTTTCCAGAAACATCCCCCCTGGTCCCCTCATGAAGTACTTTATTTCTTCTTCCCCATATTATGAATGGAGACTGTGGCTCTGGGCCTTCTGGACAGGGCTGGTTCCCAGGGTAGGGAGGGTGCTGCCTGGGGGCCCTGATGTCTGTCCTAAACCTTATTAGATATCTTTATGGCCAGGCAGGGTGGCTCACACCTGTAATCCCAGCACTCTGGGAGGTCGAGGTGGGGAGGGGATCACCTGAGGTCAGGAGTTCGAGACCAGCCTGACCAACATGGTGAAATCTTGTCTCTACTAAAAATACAAAAATTAACCATGTATGGTGGCATGGTCCCACTCAGGAGGCCTAAGCAGGAGGATCTATTGAACCCAGAAGGTGAAGGTTGCAGTGCTATGATTGTGCCACTGTACTCCAGCCTGGGCAACAGAGTAAGACTTCTTCTCCCCACTACCAAAAAAACCCCTCTTGCATTGAGTTACTCAATATTTTTAATAAAATCTTGTGCTAACAAATTATTTAGTTTTGTATTAGTGTATCTTTAATATCAAAGTTCAATTTCTAGAAAGACTATTATAATTTCCTTTTATTTATAGAACTTTTTGAAAATAAATTCAATAAATCATAAAACTTTTTCAAAATAAATTCAGTTTCTACTAACCCTATTATGAATTACACACACCATTCATGACATGCTTGGGCTTTCTGGTTTGTCCTAAATATCCCTTTTTCTTGAACAACCAGTCATTTTATTTTAGGACAAAAATTAAGCATACAAGATTTTTTATCATATAAAATTAATTTTTTTTGAGATGGGGTCTCACTCTGTTGCCCTGGCTGGAGTGCTGTGCTACCATCACAGCTTACTGCAGCCTTGACCTCCCAGGCGCCAGTGATCCTCCTGCCTCAGCCTCCCAAGTATCTGGGACTACAGGTGCACAGCACTATGCCTGGCTACTTTTTGTATTTTTTATAGAGATGGGGTTTTGCCATGTTGGCCAGGCTAGTATTGAACTCCTGGGCTCAAGCAATCAGTCTGTCTTGGCCTCCTAATGTGCTGGGAATACAGGTGTGAGCCACTGCAGCTGGTCTTCTTTTGACCTTTCTTACCAAAAATATCTCTTTATGATTTTTTTTTTTTTTTTTGAAACAGGGTCATGCTCTGTCACCCAGGCTGGAGTGCAGTGGCACAATCTTGGCTCACTGCAACCTCTGCCTCCTGGGTTCAGGGGATTCTCCTGCCTCAGCCTCCCAAGTANCTACACAGTGCATGACAAAGTGTCTACAATGGTTTTATTTTACATTTTATTTTTTTTTTTTTGAGAGAGAGTTTTGCTGTGTCACCCAGGCTGGAGTGCAGTGGCACAATCTTGGCTCACTGCAACCTCTGCCTCCTGGGTTCAGGGGATTCTCCTGCCTCAGCCTCCCAAGTAGCTGAGACTACAGGCATGCACCACCACACCCAGCAAATTTTTGTATTTTTAGTAGAGACAGGGTTTCACCATGTTAACCAGGATGGTCTCAATCTCTTGACCTTGTGACCTGCCTGCCTCAACCTCCCAAACGGCTGGGATTCAGCCACAGGCATGAGCCACTGCACCCGGCCCTTATTATGACTTACTTTGTATCTTTCTTATTTCCTGGGTTTCTTTGACCTTGTCTTATGTACAACCTTTAAATAACCTTTGAATTAGACAAAAATTATTTACCTTTTAATAAGAACACTTTCTAAAATGTTTTCCTAGTTTTTATATTGGAAATTATGCAGACATTTGATTAATATCTCTTGTTTAATATAACCTTAGATTCTATATTATATGATAATTTTTATAAGCATTTATTCCATTACATTTACCTGATTAATTTGTTTACCTAGATTATTAATGAAAATGGTGATAGTCATCATTTATTCTCTGTTAACCATTTTTATAGCCTATGAATTTTAAGTGTTTACTTACGTAAGAAACTTAAGATGAAATATATAGGTATCTTACCAATAACTCAGGATTAAGCTTGTTTTCATTAAACCAACAATATTAAATGCCTTATTTAATGAAAATTATATGAGCAATTCTGTTTTGAGCTGGGCTTATAGTTTTATAATCCTTTTGGCAAATTTGGACACCTTGTGATATTCTGCAGGGATAAGTACAAAACCACTTGATCAATAAATGCAAAGAAAAATGCTGACAAGTCTTAAGATATTTCTAATATTGCTTTACCAATAATTTCAAAGCCAGCTTATTTATTAAAGATTCTGCTTATCCCATTTCCCATTTAGAAAAGTGCAGCTTGTTTCCAGGGCTTATTTAATTTTACGTAAACATGCTCTTTGAGGCTGAAGTGAATTTGATTTTCAATATGAAAATAAAAAATAAAAGCAGTTCTTGGAGTTATTTCTAAACAGAACTTGTCTCTAATCCTACTGTAACAGAAATGTATATAATGTTTCATTAGGGTTAGGGAAGCCAGGTACCGTGGCTCATGCCTGTAATCCCAGGACTTTGGGAGGCTGAGGCGGGCAGGTCATTTGAGATCAGGAGTTTGAAGCTAGCCTGGCCAACATGGTGAAACCCCATCTCTACTAAAAATATAAGGATTAGCCAGGCATGGTGGTGGGTGCCTGCAATTTCATCTACTTGGGAGGCTGAGGCAAGAGAATCGCTTGAACCTGGGATGTGAAGGTTGCAGTGAGCAGAGATTGTGCCATTGCACTCCAGCCTGGGTGACAGAGC